CGGTATCCCGCAGCTGCCTCTGCCCACGAGGCTGAAGGCGCGGCTGAGACTTAGGCTGAAACCGCAGCCTCTGCTGCCGCGGGCACCGCCCAAAGAGCGCGGGGTGCTGGCCAGCGCTAGTGGTGCTGAAAGGCGCCGGCGGCGCAGCTTAAATAGGACTATTGCCATGTGATGGGCTACGCCAGGAGCGGCCAGGGCCTCTCAATAGGGTTTTTGTGCCTTTTCTCTTGGCATTCACTCTGCACGCTTCCTCATTATTTCACTTGTTAACTAAATGAACTGCATAATGTACTCTATTCTTGTCAACCCCACCCACGCCGTAACAGGCGCCCTCGCCCCCTCCTCTCCCTTTTGCGGGTTTATTTTCTCATTCTCCCGCGATTTAATATTCTTTTCTTTCTCCTTATTTCTTACTCCCCTTTGGCTTTGCATTGGCGATCAGCCCGTTCATCTTATTGATTTTGCACCCCCGCGGCCTCGCTTCTACAGATCCCCATGGGCGCACACCCTCATATCCTCTGTCCACTTGGTCCTGGTCCCCTTCTTTCTATTATCGTCCCTACACCTCAAAAGTAGGCTGTCTCCAGTCAACCCTGTCAGCTCAGTGCCGTGCACCCCCGAACGTCCCTCCAGCCGGTCTCAGATTTTCCACCTGTGGAATCGCTCCTGCGTCGGAAGCAGGAGGACCGGGTTCCGCGTGGAGAAGGTGTCTGTGGGGAGGGAGGAGAAGGTCTCATTATTCCTTATCCAGTCCTAGCCCCATCGCCGGTTTTCTCTAAGTTTGTCAAACAGTCTTAATTTTGGTGCTGCCTACAACGCCCAGTCTTTGTTCTGTAGATGCTGGCCAACCAGCCCTTTCCTTCAAATGACAGGGCTGTGGGTGTAAAAGAGGAAAAACAGTCGCTGAGCTTTACGAACAGAGACAGGGAATGGGGAATGAAAGCCGAGATGGCGCCCATCTAGGTCTCGCACCTCACATGTGGCGAGTTTGGACGGTCTGCCCGCGCATCTTGCCCGCACCCTGTCTACTCGCGCACACTTCCAGCAGTGCGCTGGGAAACCACTGTCTTCTCTCACTTTGGAACGCCGCGAAGGGCAGTTGTATTCCTGGCATCGGCTGCCTTTGCCCACCCTGACCAGCCTTTGCCCACCCTGATCCACCTCCGCTCTCCCCAAGACCCGGCTCCTTCCCCCTGCCGCGTCACTCTCTTCTTTCTGGTCACACAATGGTTAAACAACTTCAAACGCTCGGCGCTATGTACACAGCTCCAGCTTTTTAAATCGTTCTTGGGCTCAAAGCAGTTTCGCCCAGGAGCTTTTTCCATACAATGGGAAATTAGCATAAACATTTCGAATTTACAGCCCGGGACTTTTCACAGGAGATGTTTACTTTCGATTTTATTGGAACCAAATCGCTGCAGTCACCTGCTCTGATCCCTGAATGCAATTGTGAGAAATGAAGGGGAAGCTTAGGGGTCTGGGGAAGCAGTGCGGCAGAAATAAGACTGCCCAAACCCAAAGCATCTGCATGGGCTTTTAACATTGACAGCATCTTTGCAATAACAACAGCAACAGATTATAACTGATTAAAAACCAAAGAGAATTTGTTTTGGGAGACACTAACTGCTTCTGTAAAAGGGAATGGGGCAATGGGAGAAGTAACCTGCATGGAGGGCATGGAGTCTGGCAGGCATAAGGGTTCAATGTTTTCTTGGTTGCTTGGCATGGGGTAGGGGGCAAGGCTGCCACCTGAGCCAGGGTCTCAGTGCCAAGGCTCCCCTACTCTAGGGTGGTGCCCGCAAATCAGACGGAATCCATCAATGCAGCCTAATTCCCGTTCTAATTGCTCTCCGGGAAATTTGAGCTGGGCTGCGACGCTGAGAGGGAGCCAAGAGCGGTACCCGGGCTGGGAGAGGGGGCTTTCCACTGGGCAGAGGCAGGCTGGAAGGGCGCAAGTGCGGGCGGAGCCCAGGGGTGCAAGGGGCGGGCACTGCACCCGGAGCTGGTAGCCCGCGAGTGGCCAGCGTGGAGCTCCACTGGGAGCTGCCCCACGCGCTCGGGGAGGAAGGGGTTAAGAGACCCTGAATGCGAGCAAGGCCAAAGCTACTGGGAAAGAATATGCGGGGGTGGTGGGGGGGGGGGAATAACCAGGTTTTTTTTTTTTTTTTTCCTCCCTCCAGCCTCTGGACCTTATTGAATGTCATTGAAGAAAGTTTTGAATGCCAGATAAAGAGAGGCGAATTAAAGTGTGTGACAGCGAAGGATAAGCAAACACAAAGAGAACTCTGTCACACTTTGGGGCAAAATCCGTGGGCTTTTTACCAAGTCTCTTCGCTATGATTGAATTAAGTAATAGGAAAACATTTTCTTTCAGTTTAGAGCCATTAGACAAAAACTTCAAAGCGAATAACACTTTTTAATGTGCGGCCCCACAATGGATCGGGTTTTGTGCTGAAATGTTTAAATGGTTTGTTGTGCAACTCGGCGCGGGAGAGACCCGGGCCGGAGCAAAATAGCATCCCTGAGAGAACCAAGGCGCACTTAATCCGCGGTCTCTCAGCCCGGCGGGCTGCGGCCGGAGAGGGGGCTCCCTGCTTGGCGGTCCAGGG